AAACGGCGACACAGCGTCAGACAAGTAGCTGTAGGTAACGGGCCTCGGATATCATAGAGTGTACCAAGCCGATGAAGTTCGGGATTGAGTCAATAGTGGCAGATACCCTTGCACTACGGAATGGATTGCCATAGCTGTAGTAAGTTACTGTGGCATGTTAAAGTATTGTGAATTCAGCTAGTTGGACACTGTTGTCCTTGCGCCCGTCATGATTATATCTACTATACTCATTCTTTGTTTTAGCCTTGGTACGTCTTTAATATTAATATCGCTTAAAAATCGTTTTCCATTCAGTTTATTGAGCTTTTGCATTTAATTCAAGTCACAGCTCAAAGTTTTCTGAAGGCGACGAGTGTTGCGTGAGCAAATAAACATCCACTGATTACAATACCGATAGGAGGGAAATTCATGTTTAATGATGTGTGCGTTTGGTGATGTGCTTTTTAACAAAATGCGAAACTTGTTGACCTACAAGAAAAGCGCTGCTGAATTTTTGCTCACGACAATTAACTTTTTAAACGAGGTTGCATAATTTTCTACTCTCTGCGACGGTCGAAGAGAATTTATTACAACTAAAATAATCCACTTAATCATTCAAAAAAGTTTGCTTCAATCCACTTTGTAGAGAAGATAAACTTTGTGCCAAAAAGTGCATTTTAACGATGATGTCTGTTGCCGATGGTGACGGCCAGTGAACAGCAGCAGTGCCACTAATCCCTCTGGATAGCTGATAGTCGCATCACGTAGGTAGAATTTGCTTAAAGTTGACTAGACGCCATTTAACTTTAAAGGCACAGTACAAATAAAGTACTTTTAGATTCTAAGAAAAGCGAAACCTCACTACGAATTCCAGCACTCCTGCTTTCTTGTCGTTGCTCAGGGCAGGCAGCGGCGGAGTTGGCGGTCTTATTTTAAATTAACTAATTTATCAAGATAAAAATTTTTTAAAGCTTTTGATTCAGAACTAAGAAATGGCGCAACTGTCGAGGGCCAATTTTTGTCAGCATTGACTAAATATTCAGAGAATTTGGAATCCACATGACAGTAATTCTAGCTGCCTGAACGTTTAGCTTAAATTTACTGTAAAACTCAATTTGCGCTATATTTACTCCATTTTGCGCCTTGACCGTACGAAAACATTTTCTCTTGTACTGTTGCCGTAATTGATTTTTTGACGTTCTAATTCATTAAGAAGAACAAATGTTTCTTATTTGAGTATCAGCGTGCTTACATATGCTGCTTACAAGTACGGAGGATTGAATACGACAGTTCGAATTTGTGTGGAGGCAGGGGACAACTTGACCAGTATGCTTTAATATGGTTAATGATGGGAAATGAAGCTTATACTGCATGCCGATGGAGTTCTTAAATAACATTTTATTTAGCATTTGGGCTGCGCGCCTTCATAGACAACATGTAACGTCAGAATTCATATTTTAAACCGTCCTCTAAACTGCTTAGTTAAAGTACTTGTAAATTTGTGACTGACGTTTGGTCCGTTATTTTTTCTCATTCGCTATATTTGCTCTATAAAGTGGTAAGTGAAAATGCGACTTACTCAGGTTTTAAAATACATATGATTTTCACACGTAGCAAACCGATACAAAGAAATATGAACGTCGGTTTTCCAATCGGTCAGTTCCTCAAAATGGATGACTAGCTGTCCTTTCGGAACTCGTCAGACAGCATCTCCAACGTTTTCGATCTTACGCGAGCATTTCAGCCTTCCGCATAATATAACCCGAATTAAGAGCTAAGTCGTGCGAGGCACTTACCCCATGTAGGGCGATTGGACAAGTAATGTCTATTTCGCCTTTCTTTCTGAATGCATTAGCAAGATGTGCCCAAACCATTGCAACTTCGTCTTCTCAGTCTGAACAGTCAGTGACTGTGCTTCAAGGGTCTCTCGGAAATCTGAACTCTGAACCATGTTTAGACAAGTGAGGCCAGCGATTCATCTCAGAAAGATCATATCATCCGCCTGTATCCGAAGTCGATGTTTTTCAGACACTTCACACTGATCATGACGGTGGGTGAACATGGGGATGAAGATCGACTGGAACACGTAGAATTTTGTCTTCATATGCGGTTTTGTGTTAATCACAACAGTTCGGAATAAACAGTTCACGTCGCTGTCTTCATCTTCCATATTCGCATCTCCTTTCGGGTCACGGAGGCAACGTATAGGACAGTACTTCCAAGTTCCAGTTCCTGTGCCAGATTCTGAGCTTCGGCAGAACATAACTGAAGTCTGAAACAAACCCCTTCCATATATTTGAACCAGGTTAATCTTGGCCGTTCCCTGGGCCTTCTGCCGGTCGACTTGGCAAGAAACAGTTGCTTAGCCCTCCTTTTTAGAGGCATTCGCAACACATGCCCAAGCCATCGCAGCTGTGACTTCTCAATCTGTAGAAGAGAGGCTGTACTCGAAGGCTTTCTGGGATTTCAGTATTCCGCACATTACCGAGATGGGCAAGGCCAGCGACTCGTTTCAGAAAGTTCATTTCATCCGTTTGTACCCTGAGTAGAAGTTTTCCAGTCATGGTCCGTAGGTAGGCATGGGGACGAAGATCGACTTGAACACTGCTAGATTAGACTCCAGACTCAT